ATTTTCTGCAAGAAAAGATTGTCTTACCTTTGTCTTATGTTTAATTTCCTTAATTAGCTACACTATTTATGGAAGGACATAAAGTTGTTTGATTTTTTTTACTATTTCTGCATCAATTAAAAGTTTAGTCGTTGGTGCAGATCTTTTGCTTCCTATAAATACATTGCTAAATGCAACAATTAAAATTGCAAAAAGATATCAATAATAATAGTCATATAGGTTTACAGTAGTGCTACCACAAAAACTTGGAAGAGAATGGAGAAGGCAACATTTCTAAAGATTTTTTTGGTCTCCTTTTTGCTTATTTTGTTAGGTAAGCAATTTCGATCTACAAGTCAAATTGTTATGATATATACATAGATATAGTTATCTTTTCTTCTATGAATACAGTTTTTTAATATTAATGCTTAATATTGCACAAATACATGTTAAAAGAACTTGGTAATTAACATATTTTTATCTAAAACCTTGTGTTCGAAAAAAAGTTTAGCAATTTGTGAGAAGGAGGGGATCTTCACAGAAATACCTGCCAGATTCAATATTTACTTTTCCTAGCCGGTATACATAGATTATACCCTGATTATACATATATTATATATGAATTATACATATATTATACATTCACCAATTATTTTTAGCTTCTTAATTATTTTCTTTTCATTAACTTATTCAACAATGTCAATGGTGTTAGGACAAGGAAGCAATGGGGCGTTTGTATGCTTTAAGGATAGAGATTGCATTGGAATTGCAAAATGCAAAGAAGGGGTTCCAATATGTTCCTTGACTACACATAAGTGCACATGCTTTAAACCTCCAGCAGCTAATTATGGACCAAAAAATGTTCAAAAGATAGACCAAGAATGATTTTATCTTTGTTACGGTGCAAATTGAACCATGAATTAGACATAGTTTGGCTCGAGTTCAAGTGTTCAATATAGATACCACCTTTAGTTCAAATGTCTAAATAATCTCGGCAAGTTTGAGCGGTCGTATATGTATTCAGCCTTTTCTTTTTCATTAGTAATAAGGTTAAGTAAAGGTCTCTTATTTTCATTTTGATGTTGGAAAAGGGTTTTGCTCTTTGAATTTGTTTCGCACACAATGTATTTTACCTGAATCGAATCTCTAATTTTAGAGAAATCCTTATCGCTCTTAACAACAACAACAAAAATAACATACCTAGTGTATTCTCACAGTGTGGGGTGTGGGGATCCTTAAAGCTCTTACGAGTCAAATTATTTAGTATTAAAATAAATGGACTGAACAAAATGTTTGAACGGATACAGATGATTCAAATAGTCGACCTCAGCTAGTTTGGAATTAGGTGCGCTATCATTGGTTGATTGATTGAATCTTTCAAATAAATGTAGTTAGCACAGTTGGAAAGTTGACTATGGGATGATGCAAGGGTGCCATGACACAATGATGTAGTCAATTAATCAGAAGGAAAATGGGAGGAATAACGCATAATTATATATAAGGAAGCATCTGAAATTTTTGCTAAACTTCATATACATTGATGTATACATTTGCAACATGACCTTAATCAAACTGTCTATGTAATAGTTTCAAGTTCCAATACACAACAATAACAACAACGATACCATTGAATCCCACAAGTGGGGTCTAGGAAAGGTAGTATGTACGCAGACCTTACCCCTCCCATGTGAAGGTAGAGAGGTTGTTTCCGAGAGACCCTCGGCTCAGAAAAACCTTAGTCAAGTTCCAATATGGTGGACATATTATTCCTATGATTGAGATAAACCTGCAATTTCCTTGAGTGGCTTCCACATGAACTTTCTCCTATACATGCCATAAATAGAATTGTCATGTAATGAATCAAAATATAAAAGGCTCCTATATATTCAAAAATAAACATGAACTTTCTATATTAAAGTACTTGTCCTGACTCCTGCATCTACAGTCTAAGAATGATAATAAAGAATGTAGCATTGACTACAGAAGCCTAAACTGAAGTAAATCCAGGTAGCTTTTGCATATAATGTTGTTTCAACGATGAAGAAAAGGGAAGCCTTACCAGTTACCACACTCCGCGATAACCTTTACTTTAGGACGAAGCGAAGGAAGTAAAGCAAGAAACTGCAGCTCTGCCTTTGATAAAACCTGAACAGTTTAAGTCAAGAAGTTAAAAGATCTAAGCCAAAATACAGCTAACAAACTAATAAGACTATGCACATTTTAAGATGTAAATTTAACCTTGGCTTCGATTATCCAAACCACTAATCCTTTGGCATTTGGAGGAAGTAAAGAAAGCCTATAATCAACTTCCGGAGGAAAATACCATCTAGCTATTGGTTGCTTCCCAACATGCGCCTGCAGCGTCATTATTGCAAGTGCAAGTCAATCAGATTATTGTATTTGAGAATAAGCATATTGCGCGCGAATTACAATAACTTACAGGGCAGACAGGGTGAAACTTAGTAAGAGTGGTTTCAGGATCACCGAGGCCACGAGCAGAAAGATCCAAGAAATGATATCCCTGGTATTTAAGACGTGTAAGGTAGCGCCCTTCATAACCGCCTTCGTGTGGAGAGTAAATTGCTAAGGCTTTGTGTTCTTCAACATCTGATAACCATTGGCCTAAATCCAACTTAATGAGATCTCCACCTATGAAGTCCTCAAGTTCAATGTTACATCTAACTAGTGCTTTCTTTTGTCTTCCAAGTCTTCTCATTGTCATAGTCTTCGACGTGCTATTTAACTGTACTCGTTGCTTCTGCAGACCGTAAGACAGTATTGCCCCTTGATAGCAGGCTGCAAATGTCATTTTAGTTCAAATTTTCATAGTACATTGAATTTCAGAAATGGTGAAGAATGGATGATACTGAATAAATCATTTTATAGCATCAAGCCTAGAGTGCAGGGTAAGGCTGCGTATAATAGACCCTTGTGGTCCAGCCCCTCCCAGGATCTCGCGCATAGCGGGAGCTTAGTGCACTGGGCTGCCTTTTTTTAAGCCTGGAGTGCACATATACAAAGCACAAAAGTGACAATAAGACAATGTCACCACTATATTTACTTATGACTTTGTAAGGATAAAGGATTTGGTTTATTTGTCATAAATAAATGATTGACATGTACATTACCAACCATCTCTTGTTCCCTGCCTACATAATATTTTTGGAAGTGAGCCATGGTAAATTTAAGAGTTAAAGAAACTGAATGACAATTGAAACAAAGGCATCAGTAGGTCTAGTGGTGAAAATGCAGCCTATAATTTAGGCGCATGTCACCAGTTCAAATCCTATTGCAGACAAAAAGCCTAGTATTTAAGTGGAAACAAAGGGTAGAAGAGCGGACCCATTACCTACGTAATTTCAAACCATAACCCACTCGCCCTCGAAATTTCTCCACTACACTAGCAACTTAGCATTTATAGAGCGAATTAGCCCGCGGAAATGATCAACCAGCACGTTTGATTGAGACAGGATAATAGAATACAATAATGCTGCTGATGAAAGCAATAAATAGACATTGAAATTTATATTGTTAGGCCTATTATGTCTGCGAGCACAAGGAGACAACAACAACAATATACCCAATATGATCCTACAAGTAGGACCTGGGAGGATGGGGAGTACATAGACCTTACTCCTACCTCGTGTGAGGTAGAAAAGCTGTTTCCGATAAAACCTCGTCTAGTGGCGAACTCAGAAAATTCAATAAGGGTGTTCAAAATTTGAATATCTTTTGCCAGTAGGCTATGCAAAAGGTGTTGGAAGTTTATTTTTGATCACTAAGAAGTAATACTTTACCCTATGCACAGTACAATTTGTCAGCTAAGCCTGTTCAGTTGACCACTCTTAGCCACACATAGCTTCGCCCCTGCTCTCGTCTATGACCTCGAGCAGAATAGAACAATTTCTACTATAGCAGAAGTGTATACAGAGGAATTTAAGACGAGGTTCCGGGGAATAACCTGAAGAAGAACATGGTTGCTCCTCAGTGGATAATGTGACATTTGGATGGTGGCGAAAAGAGCCATTATTCTTGATCAAGAACCTGCTGCTGCTGCTGCTGAAGGCATAGGAGAGAGTTGAGGCAGCAGTTGCCATGTTTGTGGGAGTAGCTACAAAAATCACTAATGAGAAAATGGACCATAGAAATGGAACGAGAGTACAAGACTACTATCTTTTTAGCTATGAGCATCAGCCTTCCAATACTCTTGTCTTGACTAAGATGTCTACTTTCTTCCTTACCACTCAATTTATATACTAGATGATAAAGTTTGAGGGAAACGGAAAATTTCGAGAAAAAAAAAAAACAAGAAAAGAAAAAAATATTCCTATCCTTTTTTATGAGTGTTTATTTACTCAAAAAATGGATGAGAAAGTTTGAGATAAGTGGAAACTTTTGAAAGGAAAAAAGAAATTATTTTTAATATGGCAAACTTGTCATATCTTAATTTTTATACTTATAGTAAATAAATTTAAAAAATTGTTATAAAGAAATCAAAATAAGGAAGGTAATCGTAATACCATAAATCGCAAGGGATGTCAGTGTGATGTCGCGAAACATGATGGGAGGTCTCTGAAATTATACCTATATTATATTATTAAAATGTTACACTATTGCGTTTGGCCATAAGTTTTGAAAGCTTTTTTTCAAAGAAATATTTTAAATATGTTTGTTTATAGAATTAATATAGTTTTTTGGAGATTTTGAAAATCAAAACTTCTAATTCCAAATAAAGCTTAAGACATCTTTTTGGGTCAAATCATGACAATTTGGGACTTTTTAGCTGGAAAAAAAAGACCAAAAATTCATGTCCAAACTTATTTTCATTTTCAAATCAAACTACACCCGAATCAACTTTTTCAAAAAATATTTGGGAATCCATATCCAAACGGGTACTTAATAATCCATTAATCTTTTCAATTACAAGTGAAAAATAATACTATAAGGACGATATAAGGACAAAAGTGATTTTCAAGTTTATATATAAAAATAAAAAAAGGAAAATGAGAAAAGCATGGGGAAGAAAAATAATCTTGGACCATAGAGGAATATATTATTTTCCTCTTATCTTTAACAATTAACAAAGCAAATAATTGGCAAATTATTTGACATGGGTCTTATTCAGATTGAAAAATAATGAATCTTGGAACATGAGGAATATATTTGTACACCAATTTAGAGCACCAAGATTCACCTCTGGAGCTGCTAACACTGTTACTCTGCCACCCTTTTATTACAACTGTGGTGTCCGAGCAGCTTTTTAGTCGAGGTATCCATTTCCTACTCAGTTGACAGTTCTCATTGCTCTGTTCATCTTTCTCCCAAATTGTCCCTTTCAAGCAGCTATATATATATGTATGTATTGTTGTATTAGACAGTAGATTGCATTTGCTTAGTGTATTAATGATGTTGATTAAGTCTGCAAGTTTACTGTTTGCTCAATTACCTGTATTTGTCTCTCTTTAGATTGTGTTTGCTTAGTGTATTCAGAGTTTCTTCATCGTATCTAGTGGTGGTAAACTGGATTAAAAAATAATTTTACATTCATATTATCCACTAAAAAATAGGTCGTATAATGAACTTTTTAAAAATTGGTCAAGATAATATCAATAAAAAATGGATACTTAACGGATAACCAATGAGTTTAACTTTTACATTTGCAAAGACTCAAATTGGGTGTTCCTCAAATATGGGAGACTAGAAATTCTCCCCAAAAGTGATCACATTTAAGAAGCCAGGGATAATATGTGTATCCATATTATACGCCGGTTAACCCATTTTCTATCGGTATTAAATATGGGCGGATCGGATATTTTATTCATTTTTGCATTACCCATTTTCAACCCGCTCATCTGCCTGACCCTGCCCATCTGCCACCCCTAATGTTCCCATTTGGTTAATTTATACTTGACAGTTAATCAAGAATCATGTTTAAATGGTTAATTCTACTGTGGATAATTACAAATTAAGCTTATTTGCTACTATTATGAATTAATCAAGAAGAGTGTTTTTGGGTTGTCATGAGCAACTATTGAATATTGGGGGTCATGATAAGGTGCTGTAATCAGGAAAATTAAGTACAGTTTCTTTGTTTCAAGTATCGTTTTTGCGTTCTTTTTTTGTTTCCCACGGTCTCCAATACCCCTTTGGGGCCTCGACTAATTTGGATTCGCACCGTGTGAGGTCCATTAAAGGGGGAAACGCTCCTTATCAGGATATTTTCCCATTATTGTTTCAATTATTGGTCGTCGCGTTGATTGCATGCCTATACATTGTGGTGTTTCTCTCTTTTTTTAATGATTGTAAGCTAAAAAATGACTTGATGCTATCAGTTTTTCTATATTGATTGGTCCTTTGTTGTATACCAATTTCTAGACGACGTTTGTCCTCTTGCTCGGCAATGGAAAATGCTGAATCCAGCCCTCTCAAAAGATTCCCTCTGGGTTTGGATGAAACTACTGAAGAAGAATACTCTTCTCAGTCCACTTTGCTCCAAGATTTTGCTAGCATCCCTACCATTGATAAGGCATGGACTTTCACATCTGCCAGTGGTATGAATTCTTTTTCTTTTCTATCATTCTCCTTTTTATATCTTTAAAAATCTTTGATGATAAAAATGACAATAAGAATCTGAGGATAAAGAATATCTATTCGTGAATTATTGTTTTTCGACTTTTAAGAGAGAAGAATTGTTGTTCTTCAAAGCTGCTAAATGACCCTCTTTTGTTTTTTGCTGCACAAAAAGGTTCCCAGTGTATGTTCTCAGTTAGCCAGCCAAATCTCCTTGCCAACAAAAACAGGAAATACATATTATCTAGTCATATTTCGAAGGGAAGTACAAATGATGTAAGCTTTCAATGGGATGCCTTCCCTATTGAGATGTCTAGTGGGTCGATAATGGTTCCATCACCTTCAGGTTCAAAACTTCTTGTTGTTAGAAATCCTGAAAATGATTCTCCAACCAAATTCGAGATTTGGGGTCCATCTCGAGTCGAGAAGGAGTTCCATGTCTCGCTCTCTGTCCATGGCTCGGTATATTCGGATGGATGGTAAAATATCTTACCTACTAAAGGTCTCTGATTTTTCACTTCACCATCATATGGTGTTAATTAGAATTTGACAATGCAGGTTTGAGGGAATTTCTTGGAATGATGATGAGAACTTTATTGCATACGTCGCTGAGGAGCCGGCTCCCTCTAAGCCCGTGTTTACTCATTTAGGGTACAAGAAAGGGAATTCTACAGATAAGGAATGTGGTAGCTGGAAAGGTCAAGGTGATTGGGAAGAGGGTTGGGGGGAAACTTACCCTGGAAAAAGAGAACCTGCTATTTTCGTTATCGATGTTAACAGGTATGATAACTTATATTGTCTGCTTATATCAGTCTACATCAACAACAACAACTACGCTTCAGTCCCAAATAAGTTGGAGTCGGCGATATGAATCCTCATTCCTTTCATTAAGCTCAACTCATATCGTCATCATTACCAAAATAAGTGCTTATATCAGTCTAAGGGGTAAATATTTGATTTCTTTGGACAAATATAAATTTGTGCAGTGGAGAAGTACATCCTGTTGAAGGAACAAGGAAGCTTAGTGTTGGACAAGTTGTGTGGGCTCCAGCTTCTGGAGGCTTGCAACAATATCTGGTTTTTGTTGGGTGGCCATCAGATACTAGAAAGTTGGGCATTAAGTATTGCTATAATAGGCCGTGTGCCTTGTACGCGGTTAGATCTCCATTTTCAAAATCACAAGATCACCAATCTGGGTATGTAACTTGCTAGCTTCTAAGATAAATATGTTTTGGATCAGCTGCAACTGTTCCTGTGTGAATATAGTGCACAGTCAACCGAGCTAGGGAGAATTTCCTTAATTTTCATGTATTCTCCTACATGTTTTGATGGCATTTTAACAATTTCAGAACTAATGCAAGTGAAGAAGCATCTCCTGTTAAGCTGACACAAAGAATAAGTAGTGCATTCTTTCCTCGTTTCAGGTATGTCTGCTTATACAGATTCTAGAAAGACGAGACATATAGATGAATAAGTAATTCTGAAATTAGTGAAAGCATGTTGCTACTTATTCTCATGTCGTTCTTATTTGAAAATTAATCGGAACCTTAATCGCTTAATATAGGATCTTTCATTATCTCATATAATTTCTAAAGTTAATTTGTTCGAGAAAGTTAAAACTAACTGTTACTTTTACTGAATTTTCCAGCCCACACGGCAAGTCCCTTGTGTTTCTGTCTGCAAAAAGTTCCGTAGACTCTTGGGTACATTCTGCAACTCAATCACTTCATAGAATTGATTGGTCCCCAGATGTAAAGCCAAGTCCAGATGCTGACATTGTTGATGTGGTATGTTCTGTTTCTCTGTTTTGTTAACTTATATCAGCACTTTGAGGCTAGTCAATAATCGTTCATTATTACTATCATTATAAAGTTAATACTCTTATTAATATTAAAAAAATCTCCCATATACTAGTTAGTTCATTGTTACTATTGTTCATTTTTCGTTCTTATGTGACAACTGCAGGTTCCTGTTGTGATGTGCCCTGAAGACGGCTGCTTCCCGGGTTTTTACTGTTTTAATTTGCTAAGTAAACCTTGGCTTTCTGATGGATATACCATGATTTTATCTTCTGTCTGGGGAAGCACTGAAGTAATACTTTCAGTGAATGTATTGAGGTAACTACGGATAATGTGACTCAATTTTTGACTGACATTATGGTGTCAGGGCTTTCTTCGAATTTTCTCTAGACTAATGATTGCTGGTTAATTAATAGTGGAAAGGTGTCACGCATTAGCCCTGGAAACTCTAGCTTTTCTTGGAGCTTGCTTGCACTAGATGGCAATAACATTGTTGCTGGTAAGACTCGCATCTATTTTGCACAAAGTGTTTATCTTTGTATTATTCGTATACTTGTTTATTCTGATCAATCCAATTTGAATAAAGCTGATATTTATCTGTTTCAAAGTCTGTAGCAGTCCCGCTGATGTTCCTGAAATCAAGTACGGTAGCCTTGTCGTAAAATCATCTGCGGAGGCCTCATGGAGTTGGCTAGATATTTCAAGTCGCAGATGTAGATGCTCTGAAAAGGTTCCTTTTTTTTTTGTTCATTAACTAATTGTATCATCCAGATTGTTCTGCTCAGTGTTTACTTGTGTGAATAACATTTCTGATATTCATATCCATCTATGATGCTCACAGGTTATTTCTCTGCTATCATCCCGCCAATTTGAAATTATTAAAATTCCAGTCAGGGATGACTACAAGAACCTTACAAAAGGTACTTATTCGTCATGATCTGACTAAAGACTTGCTTATTGATGTGCACATGGGTGACTAAACTTAATTATTTAGATAGACTAGTTTAAGACACATTTTTTGGAAGCTCCACGGAATGGAAATGAACCATGTGGATAAGAAATCATTCGTTAAGGATAATCCAATTGGTGAATGTCTGTGGTCGCTTTTATCATGCCTTTCTAATTATGTACTCTAGGCCTCAATTTTCCATACCCTGCAGTGTAAAGTAAATGGAAATAGGCTACTAGGAGCTTCAATGAATATAACTAATGAAAGAGGATGGGAGTGACTGACATTTTTGGACATTCTCGGCCAAGCATGCTTGCCAACATTTCTCCCATGTCTCCAACAATTTGCCTGGGTTTCAAATGTTACATGGAATATAGTTGCTTTCTATCTTTCAGAATCAGAAGATATGTATATAAAAATAAAAACAAGCGTCATGTTTGATGAATATTAGTGTCAGAGAACTACAAAGGATGTTTTTACGGCAATACTAGATATTAGTCATTGATGCCCTCGGAGCTTGAGCATATGTTTATCATATGAAACCCTGCGTGCTTATGACCTTTTGTGCGATTTGCCAAGTCAATAAATGCTCACTCCAGATTAGTGATACTATAATAATTGTCTGTAATTGTAATCTCGAAAAGTTTAATTCTTTTCAGGTGCCAGCAACCCATATGAGGCTATCTTCGTGTCCTCCAAGTCTAAGAGCCGTAATCTGTGCGATCCGCTAATCGTTGTCCTTCATGGGGGTCCTCATTTCATTTCATTATCAAGCTTCTCTAAGTCCTTAGCTTTCCTTTCCTCAATTGGTTATAGCTTGTTGATTGTTAATTATAGGTGAGAAACTTTTCATTCCTCTTGATTTCTGAAGGATGTTGAGATTTATTTTAAGTACTGCTAACGAAATACTAGTAATGCATATGAAATAGCTAGTTGAATGTTCAACCCCACAAATTGCAAAAGCAAAGCTCATCAAAGATATTTGAACATTCACATATTCTTTGTTTTTGATATAAGATCCAAAATATGAATACGTAACAAACCCTCACTCCGCAGTCCTTGTACGATAAAAACTCTAATGTTTCAGAATTTCCTCAAGATATTGAGGGAAATTGTTCAATCTAATTATCAACTTGTAATACCTATTCCTATTTGGTTCGACTTTCGAGAATGAGACCTTTTCCTTGTAGGCAATCCAGACCAGACAAACACTAAAATAATTGCTAGTCTCTTGTTTGAGCCTTTGAGGCAATCCAAGCCAGACAAATGCACATATAGATTTGCTTCTGTTTCTAGAAACATTTCAGTACTGTACTTTGTGTTTGTCTAAGCAACAGTTATTAAGTTCCCTTTCTTTTATTACCTTATCTTAGAGGCTCCTTAGGATTTGGTGAAGAAGCACTGCAATCTCTTCCAGGGAAAATTGGATCGCAGGTACTTTTCTGTGATCCTATTTGTTGGTTTTTTAAAAGATGGGGCAGCAAAAGAATTTAAAGTATTGATTGAAAAAGTCTCTCAATAATTTTATTAAGCATAACAAGGCTTTAAATAGCCAATTAGGAACATAATCTGCAGAAAAATCTGCATAACAAGAATTCAAAAAAAACTAAAATATCTCAACAAACCTAAAAAATCTAACTGAAATTTGAATTCAAAAAAGTAGATTTATCCTAAAATTAAGCTAACTTATTATGTTAAAAAATATGCAATAGTAACTGAAGCAAATCATCAAACACTCCTCCTTTGCTTCAGTTGCTCTAAAACAATTGCTCCTCCTCAATTACTGCTTCTGCTGTTTGTGCTTGAGGACTGTGTTGAGCGTCTTTGAACTTACACACTTTTGTAACATGGCTTGTTTGTTTGCAAATACCACATATTACATCATGTCTCCACCAACAAAAATTTTCTAGGTGTGTTTTCTTTTTGCAGTATTTGCAAAGAGGATAATTGACCTTTTCTTTTTTGTTTTGTGCATAAAAAGCACCTTCAGTAACCATTTCTTATCTACTAAATGCTCTTCTTTGTTCTTGTGCTTGAGGAGCACTTATTAATTCTGCAACAGAGATGGTAGAGAGATCTTTAGACTCTTCTAGAGAGGAAATTTTGGATTCAAATCTCTCTGGAAGCGTCACAAGAATTTTTTCAACTATTCTGTCATCTTTAAAATCATCGCCAAGCAACCTGATTCTATTAAAAATAGAAGAAATCCGATCAGAATACCTAGTGATAGTCTCGTCCTCTTGCATCCTAAGAGATTCAAAATCCCTTTTCAAATTTAAAATTTGCATTTGTCTAACTCGATCACTTCCTTGGTACTCCTTTTTAAGCTTTTCCCAAGCTTCTTTTGCTGTCTCACATTCAATGATTTTAGAAAAGATTGAATCTGCAACTGAATTTTGAATCACAATTTTGGCTTTGTTTTTTTTGGTTCTCTTCTGAATGGTTTTTAATTTGGGCAAGAGTAGGATTTGCAGGGTGTTTGTAATGGTCTATCTTCCATTACAACTTCCCATAAATCATAGGCTTCAAGATATGATTTCATTTTACTGACGAAATCTGATAGTTTTCACCGGTGAAAGTTTGTGGGGCATTCAAAGAGAGGCTGCTGCTTGCCATGTTTGAAAATAGGTTTAAAAATTGATATTGGTTAAAAATGATTTGAAAATGGTTTTTTTTTTTTTTTTGTGGAAGAACTCACAGATCCCGTAAGATCAAGAAGCTCTGCTACCACTGTTGGTTTTTTAAAAGATGGGGCAGCAAAAGAATTTAAAGTATTGATTGAAAAAGTCTCTCAATAATTTTATTAAGCATAACAAGGTTTTAATTAGCCAATTAGGAACATAATCTGCAGAAAAATCTGCATAACAAGAATTCAAAAAAAAAAACTAAAATATCTCAACAAACCTAAAAAATCTAACTGAAATTTGAATTAAAAAAAGTAGATTTATCCTAAAATTAAGCTAACTTATTATGCTAAAAAATATGCAATAGTAACTGAAGCAAATCATCAACACTATTCTTGTTCTTTCCCATAGAAGTTTCTTGCTTATTAAGGATTTGGAACTGAAAAATTTTCTTCCTTGTTTGTACCTTCTGTTATATAAATGTTTGCAGGATGTTAATGATGTGCTAGCTGCTATAGATCATGTCGTTAATATGGGACTCGCAGATCCAGCTAAAATAGCTGTGCTTGGTGGTTCCCATGGTGGATTCTTGACAACGCACTTGATCGGCCAGGTCTACTAGTCCTACAAATATTGGCTTTACGGTTTCTACAATCTATTCATTTGCTACTGTTTATGCAGGCACCAGATAAGTTTGCTGCAGCCGCTACAAGAAATCCTGTCTGCAGCCTTCCTTTGATGGTCGGTACAGCTGATATCCCTGATTGGTGCTATGCGGAGACGTTTGGGAAACAGGGAAAATCGATGTATAGTGAAGCTCCTTCATCTGAACACCTTGCTGCCTTTCACAGCAAATCACCGATATCACACATCTCCAAGGTGTGCTGTAATCTACAAAATCTGGATTTGAAAAAGCTTTCCATTTTACACAACCGCGTTTCCCATCATAGAGTAAAAATTGAAGTATCATGTTTTTCTGGATTTCAGGGATAATTGGTAATAGTTGTAGAATTTTCTGGATCCTATATTTCTCAATGCATTCTCTACATCCTTGTTATTCTAATATTGCAGGTCAAAACTCCTATACTCTTCTTGTTAGGTGCCAAGGACCTCCGTGTACCAATATGTACAGGCTTGCAAGTAAGAATTAATATCATCTTCTTTTTATTACTTTTATCAATTACATGTTTGCAGTTCATTCTCAACATGATATTGACAGGTTTGTATTATCATGTATAGCCGAGGGTCTATCGGAAACAACCTCTCTACCTTCACTAGGTAGGGTTAAGGTCTGCGTACACACTACCCTCCCCACCTGTGGGATTATACTGGGTTTGTTGTTGTACATTGGAAGGATCGTTCATTTGCTTTAATGTACCCGTGTTGAACCGATGTGTCATGAGTGTGGGTTTTATGCAGATTCTTCAAGATACACTAAAAATTAGCGAAAACCTGAACACACCATATTAGATACTTACACAGACTTGTCCCAGGCAGTTGCAATGATGATATATTTTTCATTTTTCACCATAAATTCGTAGTATGATTATATTGTTTAGAAGACTATCCAGTGGCTGGCTCTACTTTAAGGCAAGTAACGCTATTCTTTTTGTATTTATCAGTAATCTTTTTTAGAGAGGGCTTTTCTTGAACAAGTCAGTCTCATTCAACTTTGTAATAACTTCTGTTCCAAATATCAATTCAGAAACATGAATAACTGAATTGTGGTTAGTCCATGTTATAAGATGTATAATTTCAGAAAGTAAATGTTTTTCCTTTCATTGCACGCAGTATGCACGTGCATTGAAGGAGAAAGGAACTGAGGTCAAAGTGCTGGTGTTTCCCGAGGACAATCACGCTATTGATAGGTAGGATAGTCCTGAACCAATTTATGTGCATCATTGGTATTGCTGAGTTTCATTTCCTACCAGAAACTTAACCTGTTTCTGTCTTTGCAGACCACAGTCTGACTTTGAAAGCTTTCTTAATATTGGAGTGTGGTTTAAGAAGCATTGCAAATAGACATATTTTTCATGGCTCAAACCAAGATTTCCACATTCTTCCACTCTCCTTTGCAAGAAGAGATGAAGTGATTTGCAGGTCAAATTTCAAACCACGGCGATTATACTCCTCTCGTTCACGTTCTCACCTTCACATTCAAGCTCTCATCTGAATGAAAACTCTTAAAACATGTTCACCTAAGGAAATTTGTTGTATATATTTGACCTCTGCAGTGACTGGCCATTCAGCACTCATTGTCAAACTCAAATGTATGTAAAATAACTAACTGTTGCTGTCCTTGTACAGTTCAATAAATCATCAAAAGGACTTCTCCATTTTTATGGGAGCAATATTTGTTAGTAGTTTCTTTTGTAGTATTTCTCATACGCGAGAGCAGATTGTCTACATTTCCAACTGTACTATGAACTGCAGATAGACATGAGTGGTAAGATTTCATAAATACTAATATTGGGTGATATTGTCTCCAATTTCTATTTGGTTTAATGTAGGAAGTTAAATTACCTCTATTTTAAAAAAAATGTGATTTTCAACTTTTTAACAACATAATACAAGGTATTTTTTTGACTCAATATGATTTCGTTTTTATTCTTATCAAGTAAAAATTGAAAAATGCATATACCATTTGATTCAGCTTTATAGTTTCTAGCTAGTTTTGCTCATAAAAGAGTTGATACTTGTTTCTTGTTTGCCCTAAATCTCAGTTGAAGCAAAATACTGACATTTAAATTCTAGCCACAAAATGATTCAAGACTAATGATAAAGTAAGTTATAAATAATTTTGATTTTCTTAGAAAAGTGTTTTTGTTTTTATCTAAAGAATTTATCTAACCTGCTTTAGCTAAAAATTAATGATATTGGGTATCAAAAAGATTAGGATAAAGGAAGTAGTTTAGAATGAAACATATTATTATACAAATGAGTGGAGGGATACTATATTCTGAAGTGCCAAGATAATATTTTGATGCATAATTATTGAATAGAGATCATTATTTTAATCTTAAAACATCAAATGCAGCTTAAATTAAAAAGAGTTATCTAGATGTAAGGAATATATATTTCCAAATTTGAGTTAAATTATTATCATGAGGCACTCAGAGAGGAAATGAATAAAGAAAAATGACTTATAGATGCTCTTGGCAAGTGGGACATAATAAACAGACAAAACAAAAAGATTGGACTTTAGTGACAAAGTGATCACTTCTGCTGCTACTCTACTCTTCTTCTTCTTTCTTCCATTCTTCATTACAATTCTCCTCAAGCTATTATCAGCTAGACCCTTTTTCATTTTCCATGTAAGCTTTCTTGGTTTATCTTTATCTGCATGTGTAAGTATGAATATCATATATATATATATANGCAAGACACGTTTATATATATATATATATATATATATATATATATATATATATATATATTGTGTGTGTCTGTATACTATTCCTTAAGCCGAGGGTCTATCGGAAACAACATCTCTACCTACACTTTACCTTCATAAGGTAGGGGTAAGGTCTGCCTATGCATTACCCTCTCCATACCCCACTTGTGGGATTACACTGGGTTTGTTGTTATTGTTGTGTGTCTGTATATGCATTATTTTGTCATTTTTTTCTCCATCATCTTTGAATTCTCTTTCTTTGTTGGAGTAGTTTATGTTAGCCAAGATTTATTTTTTTATGTTCAGAATGAGCTGAATAGTCCTAAAATGTTACAGTTAGAATGCTGCAAAAGAAAGAAGGTTGAAGGAATTGATTCTTTTTCTTTGTTAACAGTAGGTATCAAGAGTAATGAATGAGGAGTGATTAGATTGTTTTTCAATTATTAGGGCTTAATAATTTGGTGAACAATAGAAAATATAAATCCAATAATGGCTATCCATCTGTTGTAGTTCTCTCAAGCAAATTATTACTTAACTGTAGAATTCTTGTTATTTTAGTTCTGCCTAACCATAATTGAATTTCTTCAGTTTGCTTGCAAATGGAAAATCCTGGAGCAAGCCCTTTCAAAGAAATTCCTGTTGGTTTAGATGCATTTTCGGAGGAAGAATACTTTTCTCAGTCTACATTACTCAAAGAATTTACTGAAATCCCCACAATTGAGAAGGCGTGGACTTTAAAATCTAATACTGGTATTGCTACTTTGATTCTCTCTAGTTCTTCTAAGGAATAAATATGTACAAAAGATGAAATTGCGATGTTCTTTGGTTCTTTCGGTGTTAGGAGGCTCACAGGTTATGTTCTCATTAGCCAACCTAATCTCCTGGAAAACAAGAAAAGGAGATATGTATCATATAGTCACATTGCCAAAGAAAGAGATGATTCTGTACAATTTCACTGGGCTGCTTTCCCTATTGAGATGGGGACAGCATCTTTGATGGTTCCCTCTCCATCAGGTTCAAAGCTTCTTGTTGTTCGAACTGCTGAAAATGACTCTCCTACTTGCTTTGAGATTTGGAGTTCATCTCAGGTGGAAAGGGAGTTTCATGTTCCTTCGTCTATGCATGGATCTGTATATTCAGATGGATGGTAACTTTATTTGCTATCCAAAAAGTACTATATCCTGTGGTAATAGTATTAGCAGTCATTAGTTGTTATTTCTGTCGATTGCCTGGTCTCAGGTTCGAGGGGATTTCCTGGAATTCTGACGAAACTTTGATTGCTTATGTTGCTGAGGAGCCTGTTTCTGCAAAACCGACATTTGCATGTCTTGGCGACAAGAAAGGGAATTGTCCAGATAAAGATTGTAATAGCTGGAAAGGTCAAGGGGATTGGGAAGAGGGTTGGGGCGAAGCATATGCGGGGAAAAGACTACCTAAGCTTTTCGTAATCAACATTAACAGGTTAATATAGCTGGTATCTGTTTAAGTAGTTTTGGAAAAGTTTATTCATTTAAACTTGATGAGGGAACCCTTTAATGCAACTTTCTGCAGTGGAGAGGTACGCGCTGTAGATGGCATCCAGAAGTCAGTGAGTGTTGGGCAAGTTATTTGGGCTCCATCGGTGAAGGACTTACTACAATATCTAGTGTTCGTCGGATGGCCATCGGGGACGAGAAAGTTTGGTATCAAATACTGCACTAATAGGTCATGTTCTTTGTATGCTGTTAGAGCTCCTTTTAGATCAGAACCAGAACAATCTGCGTAGGTTGCTTGCTCTAAAGAAGCCTTCTTTTTTCAAAGATTTCGACATCATGCTTAAGCTTAAACGTTCATTTCTATTTCCACTGAATCGACTAAGTATTTATTGATAAATTTTCTTTGATGTTATCATAATTTCATTTTTTTTCCTTCTTCAGAACGAATGCAAACCTATTGGCGGTTGTGCTGACACAAAGCATAAGTAGTGCGTTCTTCCCTCGTTTTAGGTATGTCTACTTGTTATAACTACTGGCTCTCAACAACTCCTACCAAGAAAAGAAGAAAGCAAAATGGAAGAGTAATGATAAAAATGGAAATAGCAAATAGGTAAGAAATAAAAAGAAAACAATTCAGAAGTTCACTTTGAGAGGCTGATGCATTTTATTTCCCTGGCTTAGTTTTTCTTTAATAGATAAAAAGGTGATATGATTGCATAGCCTAGTGGCAAATATCAATTGTAAACTCTAATAAAATAACTTTTTAAAAACTATAACATAAAATCTAACAACCTCATTCTTGTTTTTCTCACTTCTCAGCCCAGATGGAAAGTTCCTGGTGTTTTTATCTTCAAAAAGTGCTGTAGATTCTGGAGCACATAATGCAACAGATTCACTTCATAGAATTGATTGGTCCATTGATGCAGAGCCATGTCCGCATAACAAAATTGTTGATGTGGTAGTATTTTTCTGCTTTGCTCACAAACTTATACGAGCGGCTGAACATTGGCGCTCACAACTCTTGTCAAATTGAACACACTGATGGAATAATGATTTCACCTTTTCCATTTTCTGAGTTCGTAATTTGTTGTTTCACTTGATCAACCTTATTAGATAGACCACTTCTTCTTATTGGTGTTCAATGACATCTATAGGTTCCTGTAGTGATGTGTGCTGAAGATGGAAGCTTCCCTGGGTTATACTGTTCAAATATTCTTAGTAACCCGTGGCTTTCTGATGGTCGCACTATGATTTTATCATCTGCCTGGGGCAGCACCCTAGTTATACTGACCGTTGATGTCTTGAGGTAAAGAAGGAAGCCATTCTATCTCCATTGTACTCAAATGTTGTATATCTGTGTTCGACCACATGCTCGTTTACTTTCAGCGGAGATGTATCACGTATCAGCCCTAGCACATCAGAATTTTCATGGGATGTCCTTACTCTGGATGGTGACGATATAATTGCAGGTAAGAGTCAATGTTGACTTTTTAACTGACAACAACAACTATGCCTCAATCCCAACCAAGTTAGGCTCCGCCATATGACTCTTTACTTACCATGTTGCTGATTATGCTGATATTTTAAACTTGTTAATAAAAGTCAGGGTTGACACTTGAAGTCCTCTGTCTGATATGCTTGAAAATGTATTGCCTAATCAAAAACCAAGAGATTCTTCTGATGTTTTTTATATCTTTGAAGTATGTAGCAGTCCAGTTGATGCTCCTGAAATCAAGTATGGTTATCTTGTCGGGAATGCTTGCGATAACACTAAATGGAATTGGCTAGATATCTCAAGCCCCATAACCAAATGCTCCGAAAAGGTGAATATAATGTCCACATTGTTTAAACCATTTTGGGCTAGGTTACCACGAAGAAAGACTAGCACAGTCCTAATTATTTTCTTGCGATTCTTCAAAGGTGAGGTCTTTGCTGTCATCCAAGGAGTTCTGTATAATGCCGATACCTGTTAGAGATTTCTGTGAGAACCTTACAAAAGGTATGTGATATTATGCATGTCAAGAATGTTTAGTGGATGTAATCGCTCTTTTTAACCAACAGATGTAATATTTAATTTTAGCACACATTTTGTGTTTCTCTGCTTCTAATTTAGTGCATGTGTCTAATTCATGGTAGGTGCAAGCAAACCGTATGAAGCTATTTTCGCATCCTCCAAATCTAAGAAGCATGATGCATGTGACCCGCTAATCGTAGTCCTTCACGGGGGTCCTCACTGTGTTTCAGTGTCAAGCTTTTCAAAATCTTCAGCTTTCCTTTGCTCGCTTGGATTTAGCCTGCTTCTTGTAAGTTACAGGTAAGTTAAATAGTACCATAATACTTTTTGGCATCCGTAATTCTTGTCAGGAAGTGGCAATCGAGATGTGCTTTTCGGTGTACTATAACTTGTGCTGAAAGCAGAGTGTGTTTGATATAACCACTTAGTCCTAATTTCACATTCTGATAAACTTGTAAAGAGAGATTCTTTATAGGTACCATTTATCTTTGCAGTGAATTGAGCATTTGCCTACTGTACTTTGGAAAGTTAGTTATCAAAACAGTATTTGATATATTTGTACACTCACACTGTCAAGTGGTTGATCTGAGTTGCTGATTCATAGATTTCTCACATTATATTATTATTATTTTCTTGATTTTATAGTTTGAGGTCTCTGGCTTTATGATGAAAGTCAAGGCAGAAACACATTACTGTTTCACCTAGTTAGACCTCAGAAAACCTGATAACCTCTCATCTCAAATTTAGCATTATTCTGATTACATTACAAAATCAATCCCTTATTGAGGTCTTTTCAGAGGTTCCTTGGGATTTGGTGAGGAAGCACTGCAATCTCTACCAGGGAGAGCGGGTACGCAGGTGCTTTTTCCTCCAAACTTCTTTACGACAGCCCATTGCTGTTCTCTCCGATCATATTTTTATCCATAATGAGGACTTTTCTTTTAAATTTCTTTCAATTGTATCACATTTCCACAGGATGTTAATGATGTACTCGCTGCCATAGACCATGTCACTAGTATGGGACTTGCAGATCCATCCAAAATTGCTGCTGTTGGTATTTCTCATGGTGGATTTTTGACGACACACTTGATAGGCCAGGTTGTTAGTTCCACAACCTACCTGTTTTCACTATAGCTATATTCACATCTACTAAATGTTTGCATGTGGCCATAAGACCAAACGTTCTGATACTTCGTCGTAAGGTGATAGGAAAAGTTAAAAACTTAATTCTATTTCTTGCTCATGCACATCATGCAGGCACCGGACAAGTTTGCTGCTAGGAACCCAGTGTGCAACCTGGCGCTAATGGTTGGTACAACTGATATACCTGACTGGTGCTATTTTGAGGCATTTGGAAGTGAAGCAAAATCAAACTTCACAGCAGCACCTTCAGCTGAACATCTTGCTCTATTCTACGACAAGTTCCCAATTTCACATGTATCCAAGGTCTGCTTCATCAGCTATGTTGATGTTATCGTCAAATAAGGGGCGACTAACACTGGGTTTTATTGCACTGGAGCGTAGAACTTGGCAACTGAAAAATGCAAAGATTATACTCATCATTTTACATCTGGTTCTTTCTACTTCTCATTGACATCCAAACAAAAAGAAACTGGAAATGGGAGGGGAAAAAAATTACAGTTAATTCCTTCTAGACATATAATTTGCTGGTGCATATTGGAATTTACTTGGCACTAGATTGTCTTATCGATGCTTCTGTACTCACGTGGAGGTAATCTTTCAGGTCAAAACTCCCACGCTCATGGTATTAGGTGCTCAGGACCTTCGCGTGCCCATTACTGATGGATTACAAGTATGTACATTTCTTCTTTTCTTTTTTTTTTGACATAAAATCGTAATAACAATGGAAATCATCGCTTCCTTGGCTCCTTTTTGTCGCTTGAGTTCTCCAATTTTATCCGAGTCTAACTAGAAAGCATACATTCTCCTATTCATTGGGACTTTCAATAAAAAAAATATTCAGCTTATTTGACCATCTTGTGACAATGAAGTTAAGTTTTCATACAAATATGAAAACATTTCCTACAGTGCTATCTCGCGCTCTTTCATTCTAATGGAGGAACCTTAGTACGTCTTGCCTGCAAGTTGGGTGTTTGATAAAACATTGTGTCTCAGTAAACATGTTTTGTTCTTCTGTCTGATGCAGTATGCGCGAGCATTAAAGGAGAACGGAGTAGAAGTTAAGGTGATGATGTTTCCTGATGATATACACGAGCTCGATAGGTAATTGTGTTCCTTCCCTCTAAATTTCAGTACTACAGTCAGACCTCTCTATAACAGCATCCCTATATAACAACACTTCACTATAAACGCCAAGCTTTTCTGGAACCAATTTTTATGTTATGTTATAAATATATGTTCTCCATAACAGCACTTCGCTATAACATCAAAAAATATTTGGAACAAATGATGCTGTTATAGAGAGGTTTGACTGTACTAGTTTTCTTTCCTCACCTGATGTGATCAATAACAGTTCTCCACTTACCCTCCACTGTAATTAAATTTCACGTTGTGTCTATGTAGTGAGATCTAATGCTATGTGTTTACTTTTTTTGGCAGACCAAGAACAGACTTTGAAAGTTTTCTTAACATTGGAGTGTGGTTTAAGAAGTACTGCTCATAGATTGCCACATAAATCAGTGTTTCTGCAACAAGAATAAAGGACAGCCCAGTGCACAGGACATCCCGCGTTCACGCAGGATTTGGGGAAGGGCCGCACCCCAAGGGATGTAATATAGACAGCCTACCCTAATGCAAGCATTAATTGCTACTTATACGGCTCGAACCCGTGACCTATAGGTCACACGGAGATTACTTTACCGTTGCTCCCCGCTCCCCTTCCTTTCTGCAACAAAAATGTTTAGAGATTCACGGCCTGCTCTTCCAAGAAAATGAAGGTCATAATTGACTCAAATTCATCATGATCATACTACTATACTAAATTGCTTGTAATTCTCATATAGCACTTGAAATATGTCTCTTACTGATCAAATTAGTGCACTTTTTCAGGGATAAGTGCTCCTTTTTTGCACAAACCATGAAGTATTTAAAATTCCTTTTTTCCCCTTTTTGCTTATGGCCATTAAACTTTTCCCGAAATTCCAGCAGTAACAAAATGGAGACTGAAATTATATACTCCTTCCTCCGTCTCAAATTATCTGTCATAATTTTTAAAAAATAGTTGTCTTAATTATTTTTTTTCCATTACCCTTAATAGTAATTGTTCTTGAAGATGGAGATATAGCACATAAATAAAGTAAATATTCAATGAAGAGAGATTATATCTTAAGACATAAACAAGGGTAAAATAGTCCAAAATCCCTTCTAATTAATATTTTCTTAAGCGGCGTATAAAAGAGAAACACGATAAATAATTTGAGATGGATGGAGTAGTAGATAGATATCGAAAGGTTCTTCTTCGAAAAAAGAAAAGAGCAATTGAATAAATATTTCTTTATTGTAATTCGTTTGACACTGTTGTGATCCTGAAATTATTAGTTAAATAAATGTGGCTAGCGGAGTTCGAACTTGAATCAGTAGGGGAGGTCTAACGGATCACTTAATCGACGGCTCAGAAGAGTCGTCACTTAATGAAGCTCAAAGGTCCAGATTTTGCCAGCTGGCAAAGAGTTTGTTATTTAACTAACAGACCCTGCAGAGAAGAGTAACGATTACACGGTATCTTTCTTCTCACTCCTCGTTCTCTTCTTCTGGTTCTCACCTCTTTCTCTTCTCTTCTAACCCAAATCCTTCTCTTCTTCTGCAGATCTAGAGTACAGTCATGGAGCTCTGTTTCATTTAGTTCTTAATTTTCATTTTCCTTAGCCTTCTGTTTTTCATTTCAATAAAAAATTGTTGCAATTCCTTTTAGCAATTGTTAAATTCCATCTTAATTGGTCAGATTGTGACAGACTGTATTGGGTGATACCCTTTTTTGCTTGAGCCCGACCGGGTTGGGTCCGGTCCGGAGCAAGTCGGGGCCATCGAACCCGACCTGGATGCAAGGTAGAACGACGGCCACGTCTACAACCGAGGTCGAGTCATTTCGAGACCGTTACAGAGCTCGATAGGAGTCACCACCGGATGGAGAAACACACAAGGTCGGAAGCCGGACTCGTAACGGATAACCAAGCGTCGCCGGATATCTCGCCCAAACGTGATTTTCTCAACCACTTCAGGCCATTAAGGCGTAATTACAGGGATCCACGATGTAATCAATTTACCTACCTTATTTTTACCCTTAATCAGAATGTATAAAAGGGGATCTCTCTAAATTCTTGTAGATCATCAAGCACAATTGTTCTAAGCAATATTATATTCTGCGATTATTTACTTTAACAGCAATTGTTGAGTCTTTATCTTTATTTTCCTCAACATAAAAACCTTTTGTATCTTTTAGTTCACGGATCCTTAAAACCCCATATAAATTCAATTGTTATCCGGATTCGAGGGTAAACACAGACACATCTATGTTGGAATGTAATCAAATTGTTGAAACTACTTTACAGATAATATTTTTCCACGACTTTTAATTATATTGAGAGTTCAATTCATTTAACTATTCAAAATTTAAGCATTATTGTGATTCTTTCTCTTCGAATACTATTAGAAGAATATAATTCCTATAAGGAATAAAAAGAAACTATCGACGCACCATCTACAACAAACCCAGTGAAATCTCACGTGTGGCATATGAAGAGGATAGTGTGTATGCAGTCCTTATCCCTACATTGAGAAAGTAGAGTGACTTGTTTCCGATGAACCTTGGCTCAGAAAAGATACAGAAGTAAAGCGGAGAAAAGGCTCAGGAAAGGTAAAAGCAGGAAATAACAATAAGCAGCAATACCAGCAAAACAGTCAGAGAACCAAAGCACAAGAATCAATGGGTAATAAAAGAAATTTGAGAACAAGAAATACAAGACTAGCACTAAATAGTGCACTACAACTACTGGTACAAAGAAGACACTCGGCTACCTAACCTTCGGCCATAATTCTCAACCTCTACACCTTCCTATCAAAGGTCATGTCCTCGGTGAGCTGGAGCATCGCCATGTCTTGCCTAATCACAATTTCCCAATACTTCTTCGGTCTATCACTACCTCTCGTTAGGCCCCCCACGAGCAACCTCTCATACATCCTTACTGAGGCATCATTGCCTCTTCTCTTCACATGTCCGAACCATCTAAGTCTTGCTTTCCGCATCTTGTCCTCCACCGAAGCCACTCTCATCTTGTCCCGAATAACTTCATTCCTAATCTTATCCAGCCTAATATGCCCACACGTCCATTTCAATATCCTCATTTCTGCCACCTTCATCTTCTGGACATGAGGGTTCTTGACTGCCCAACACTCAGCTCCATACAACATAATCGGTCTGACCACCGCTCTGTAAAACTTACTTTTAAGTTTTGGTGCCACATTCTTATCACACAAAATACTGGAAGCGAGCCCCCATTTCATCCAATCCCCCCTCCCCCCGATACAATTTGTGAAATCTTCGCCAATCTCCCGATTCCCCTATATAACTACCCAAGGTGCTTGCAACTATCTTTCCTAGGAATGACTCGTGAATCCAACCTCACATCCCCGTCCACTTCCTAATCCACAACACTGAACTTGCACTCCAAGTATTGTGTCTTGGTCCTACTCAACTTGAAACCTTTAGACTCTAGAGTCTTCCTCAAAACCTCTAGCCTTATGTTAACACCACCTCGCATCTCATCAATCACAACAATGTCATATGCGAATAATATGCACCACAACACCTTTCCTTGAATGCGGCGTGATGCACCATCATATAAATGTACTCCCTATGTTCCAGTTTATGTGAATCTATTTCCTTTTCGGTCCATTCCAAAAAGAATGAGCCCTTTCTAAATTTGGTAACAATTTAGCTTAAACTTATAATTCTACCCTTATCTTTTATAACCACACAAATACTCTGGGACCCTTTTTGACTCATTTAGGACCACAAATTCCAAAAGTCTTCATTTTTTCTTAAATTCCTTGCCCAGTCAAACAGATTCGCATAAATTGGCACGGAGGGAGTAATATATTTCTATCAAAATAATTCCTTAAATATCTGGTATCTTTTTTTTCTGTCAAAACTACAGATACATTCTCTCTATTTTATTTTAGACACTTCTATAATTTGAAGGGTTAACCAATTATTTCCTTCGACTCGATTTTTAAGAAAAAATGAATTTTAAAATTTGTGCTTTATACCCATCCTTATCTTAAAAACTTAACATTCTACAGACTATTTTATTCATTTTAATATTTTTTAAAAGAATTGAGTAATATATAAGTCAAACTAAAAGAGAATCCACATAAACCCAAGAAAAAGTTTGACTACCAAAATCAATAAAAATCCGCCGTCTGTGGGGATCGAACCCACGACCACGTGGTTAAAAGCCACGCGCTCTACCACTGAGCTAAGACGGCTTCGTGGTAGTGCATACTTACATTTCTAAATTTCAATAATTGACAGTTCTCCGTCTCAATTTTCTTCTTGCTTAGCCATTCTGTTCATCTTCTTTCGTTCACTTTCTTCACACCAATTCGTTCTGAAGTTCCTAATGTGCTTCATGTCTTAAAGCATTTACTGAAATTTTAATCAACTGACAGGTTGAAGAAATGTTTGGGAAGTTACAGTATGTTGATACCAGCAATTGCTTCCACATACTAAACTCAAGTAAATCCACTCCAAGTATAGGAATTTCAATCCCAACCACCAAGAAATACAAGGAGCAGAACCAATTGCATGACTCAAATGGTAGAATTGAGAAAAGCAAGAATCTAGGGGTCAAATTCAGGCCTGGAGTTGGCTATGACAGTGATGAAAAAGAGAAGCTGGACTATCAAATTGCCAAAAACTCGCGTACTCATGTTTGGAAAAATGGTGTTTTGAAGACCCAAAATGGTTTCTTGAGGAAACCAGTTGATAAAACTGAGAGTGAGGAGAAAATTGGTGGTCAAGTGCAGACCGAGCGTTCGACGAAATGCGGCAATGACGTGAAAAGAGGCCAAGACTCACCTACCCATGTGGTGAAAGGTAGTGTTTTGAAGACCCAAAATGATTTTTTGAGGAAACCAGTTGAAAGCAGTGAGAATAAGAAAAAAATTGGTGGTCAGTTGAGCTCGGGGAATGTGGTGGAGAAAGTGCAGACTAAATGTTCGACAAAATGGGCTAGATATGGAGGCTGCATTCCTGTTATGCTGGAAGCTTTGGAGACGGTTAGCGATTTGGATGAGGCATTAAAGCCATGGGAAAAGAGTTTGACTAAAAAAGAAAGGACTATTATATTGAAGGAACAGGTGGAGTGGCAACGAGCAATGGATATTTTTGAGTGGTTTAAGAGAAGAGGATGCCATGAATTGAATGTTATACATTATAATATTATGCTTAGGATTCTGGGGAAAGCACGGAGGTGGGGCGAGATCGAGAGCTTGTGGGATGAAATGAGGGTAAAGAGAGTTGAGCCAATAAATTCAACTTATGGGACTCTGATCGATGTCTACAGCAAGGGTGGGCGTAGGGAGCAGGCAATGAAGTGGTTGAAGTTGATGAATGAACGAGGTATGGTGCCGGATGAGGTGACAATGGGAATTGTCGTACAGATGTATAAAATGGCGGGGGAGTTTAAGATGGCAGAAGAATTTTTAAAAAAGTGGTCTTTATGCAAATGTCTGGTGGAGGAACGCGTAAATGGTGCGACAAGAAGTGGTATTCGGGTCAATGGTTCTTCTGGTACAAGTGTTTGTTTGAGCTCACATACCTATAACAATTTAATTGACACTTATGGGAAGGCAGGGCAAGTGAAAGAAGCATATGACACTTTTCACGAGATGTTGAGGGAAGGGATCCTGCCAACAACAGTTACTTTCAATACAATGATACACATGTGTGGTAATAATGGCCGAATGGAAGAAGTTGCTTCCTTGATGAGGAAGATGGAGGAGCTTCAGTGCCGTCCTGATACAAGAACATATAATATTCTTATTTCCCTTCATGCCAAGCACGACAACATAGGAATGGCTGCCACCTACTTTAAACTTATGAAGGAGGCTTCTCTAGAGCCCGATGCCGTGACCTATCGTACTCTTTTGTATGCATTTTCAATAAGGAATATGGTAATTGAAGCAGAGAAGCTCATTTTGGAGATGGATAAAAAAGATCTAGAGATTGACGAATTCACTCAGTCAGCTTTGACTAGGATGTATCTAGAAGCTGGGATGGTAGAGAAGTCTTGGTCCTGGTTCCAGAGGTTTCATCTTGCTGGAAAAATGGCCTCTGAATGCTACTCTGCCAACATTGATGCCTTCGGCGAACGTGGCCATATTTTGGAAGCTGAGAGAGTTTTTAACTGCTGTAAGGAGGGAAAAAGACTTACTGTCCTTGAGTTCAATGTAATGATCAAAGCATATGGAATTAGCAAGAAGTACGATGAGGCGTGTTATTTGTTTGATAGCATGGAGAAACATGGCTTATCTCCTGATAGATGCAGCTTTAGTTCGCTCATTCAAATGCTTGCTGCTGCAGATCTGCCACTGAGAGCAGCATCTTACGTGAGGAAAATGCAGGAGGCGGGATTAGTTGATGATTGTATCCCTTATTGTGCTGTGATATCTAGTTTTGCTAAAGTAGGTCAGCTGGAAATGGCTGTAAGATTATTCGACGAAATGATTGCATTTGATGTCAAGCCTGATGTTGTTGTTTATGGTGTACTGATAAATGCCTTTGCCGACATAGGAAGTGTTAAAGAAGCTACAAAATACTTGATTGAAATGAGAAAATCTGGTTTAGAGATAAATGTTGTTATATATACTTCCTTGATTAAGCTATACACCAAGGTCGGGTATTTGAGAGAAGCCGAAGAAACATACAAAATGCTTCAGTCGTTTGAGGCAGGGGCTGATGTATATTCTTCGAATTGCATGATTGACTTGTACAGCGAGCGCTCGATGGTTGGACAAGCGGAAGAGATTTTTGAGAACCTAAAGAGAAAGGGAAATGCAAATGAGTTTTCTTACGCGATGATGCTGTGTATGTACAAGAGAACCGGAATGTTTAAGGAAGCCATTCAAATTGCCCGTAAAATGAGAGAACTCGGACTTCTGACTGACTTGTTAAGTTGCAACAATGTGCTTGGATTGTATGCAACTGATGGGAGGTTTAGAGAAGCTTTGGCGACTTACAACGATATGCTTTCTTCTTCCATCCAACCTGATGATTCAACATTCAAGTCACTTGGAATTGTTCTACTTAAATGTGGTGTTCCAAAGGAGGCTGTTGGGAAGCTGGAATGTATGAGGAAAAAGGATCCTCAGAGTGGAATGCAAAAGTGGAGTTCAACATTATCTTCTGTTATCGGTGTGCTTGATACTGACAGTCCTGATAGAGAAGATGCCTAGCTCTTCCTATAGATACTAGTATACCATGTAACTTCAACTTTCAATGCTTATTGAATACTTGCATTGAAAAGATGGATTGTTACTTCTGTCTTGTCCATTTTGAAACTGGAATTAGAAACGGATTACAGTTGGACTGAAATTGAAATTGTGAATTTGTGATCTGACGTTGAGTTTCTGTCTAGTTCTCATCTTGTCTAACTTTTGGCATTTTAAATCATCTTGTTCTAGATTGCCATTGCCTTTGATGTTTATAGTTGTGAAAGATTGGAAGTAAGCATAATTTATTTATTGATTTCATGGCAGACTACCTAGAAGTAAGGACTATTCCTGGTATTTTCAAGAGCAATCGATCAACTATAAGTTGACTGCGCCTCAACCCCATGTCCCCTTAGACTACATTAGAAAAGCTTCTTCCTGTGACTTAAAGGAGCAATTGTGGTAATTTCTTGAGGGTGATCCCAATTTTACCTACTATAACTAAATCTGTTCCAAGGAACATTTTTAAAATGTTAAGTTAATTATAAATACCAAAAAAGGGGTGCAGCTGATTACTCTGCGAAAGCAGTATCAGTCAACTAATGATAATAACTCTAACTGGTCTTTACTCAATGAGACATACGGCTTTATAGAATGGGATTCTAGTTGTTGAGGTCATGGTCTATCTTCATTTAGTTCTAAATTTAACAGTTGTATGAAGCTTTTGCAATTCCTTATTTACAGGTTGCTTCTCTTGGAGGAGGACTATCAATTGAAGCCCATTTATCAAGCAGGTACCATTTGTAATGTTTTCTCCACTTCCATATTTCTGCTTCACAAACATTGTTTGATGGGATGCTACGAGGCTGAGATGGTTCAGGCATGTGAAGAGGCGAGACATAGCTGTCCCGGTTAGGACGTGTGAGAGGTTGACCATGGCGGGTTTGAGGAAGGTAGGGTAAGCCTAAGAAGTTTTGGGGTGAGGTGATTAGGCAGGACATGTCACCTTCAGCTCACCGAGGACATGACCCTCGATAGGAAGGCGTGGAGGACGAGTATTAGGGTTGTAGGTTGATAGATAGTAGCAAGTCTCTCCTAGGCTTGTCAGTAAAACTAGTCCTATTGTTGTATTTGCTTATTCCTGGTTCGTTATTAGTACATATTGTGTTATTCGCTTTCATTACCCTATTACCTTGTTATTGCTATTGTTTGTTGTTTCGGTTCATTGTTCCTTGAGCTCTACCGGAAACAGCCTCTCTATCTTCATAAGGTAAGGGTAAGGTATGCGTACACACTACCCTCCCCAAACCCCACTTGTGGGATTACACTGGGTTTGTTGTCGTTGTTGTTGTTGTTGTCTGATGGTATGCTACGGGAAGCAAGAAGCGCTTTGCCAGAGAGAGGTAGCTTGAGGAACTGTAAATGCAAGTAGTAAAGACACACATTGTTACTTAACTGTGTCACTGATGCGTCAAAGACTGTTGCTTGTCAAACTTATTAATACTAATGCTATGCATCAAAAACTTAACAAACACTATCTGATGGTATGTAAGTGGTTCAATTCTCGACCCTAATTTGAACTTGCTTTAAGAATAAGGAGCTGCCTTTCAATGGTGTGAACTATATGAACTAATGGAAGCTTACAGTAATCTACTAGTTGAGAATTGTTAGTTGCTGAAGTCTGTTAGGTAATTAAAACTCAGTTTCTGCAGCAGTTTGAGCCAAAACTTTGACTGGTTTGGAGTGCTACTAACTGAGAAACAAAAGATTGTGCAAAATGACGACTAGTGCTAATCAACGTCTAACTCATTTTCAGAAAACAGATTTACCATAACTCTATCGTTGCCTGCACTAAAAAATAATCAATAGGTTAAGCATTCTTTTGACATATTAAGGGCAACGGAAGGGCGGACCACACGGGTCTATTGTACGCATCCTTACCCTGCATTTCTGCAAGAGACTATTTCCACGGCTCGAATCCGTGACCTCCTGGTCACATGGTAAAGTTGGACATGGCATTATTAAACTGGGATAGGATTATCATCAATACAGAAGCATCAGAGAATATCCAAATCCCTTTTTCAGGTCATTATATTTTTCTCATTAACAGGAAAACTCCATTATATTATGTGCTAGTGGAGATACTTTTAGATGCTATCTTGTAAGTGGTTTAAGCGTATCTAGCATGTGTAGATATTTTCTTTGCCAGATCTATACGTTTATTTATTAAGTGCATCTTTCTGGTAGTGCTCTTTACTGCAGCAGTATAATGTCTTTGAAATAGCACCTTGTTGATTAAGCTGCTGGATCCAACAACTAGCTGAACAGCTGCTAGTATTTGTTGTGTGGTGAAATGGAGATCTATGCTTTTCTGCACTGTACAAGATTTTATCTCCAATTGGTTCTTTTCTGCAACTTGTTTATTTATGTTTACAGCAAATTATACTTGAGTGAAACTTTGGTTGACAAAAAGCTAATACTACTATATTTATGTACGTCAGATATTTGGTTCTTGGTCTTTCATTGCATCTACCTTATTGGGAGTTGGGACTACTTGGTGGGGGGACCAAAAGAGATTTTTACTGTTGCTTAAGCAACTTGTGATGGCAGCCATGAGTATTCTGTCCAAGGGCGGATCTACAGTGCCAATTACGAGTTCACGTGAACCCAACAATTTTTGTCCCGTCCCTATATGTATGTTAAGAAATCATCTAAATATGTCCCGTCCCTATAAGTATAATCCTTTAAATAAGTGAACTCGGTTATTATTGTATATATTAACTTGAAATCGCTCTAAGAATTCATAAACTTAAAATTCTGTATCGTTTCTGTCTGCTGTCATTTGTGCTGTCAAACTGCTGACTTAGCCTTATTTTTGCCACTGTTATGTTGCAGACTTAAATTGAAAGAAACTGCAGAAAGGAAAACACTGAGAAACTCATGAAGACATTGAAAATTTTGATTTTATGAACCGTTTAATAGAACATGCTTAGCTTCCATTGAGATTGTAAAACATTATTTAATTTGTCATTTTCAGTATCTTCTACACAGTCAGCCACCCACCCTTTCAAAACTATTTTCTCAAGACATACAAACCAAATTTGATTATCAACCTTGGGAAAATCATAGAATTTATTTCATGATCCATGGGTCTAGCATTAGATTCAAATTAAATTGAAATATTAAAAAGAAACATTAAAAAACATATATGCAACTAAACCAAAAAAAAAAATGTTTTCCATTTCAATTTACAGAGTCCAAAAAAGACTAACAAGAACTACACTTTAGCTCCCTAACTACTGCCTAATGCCTTACACCCTGGAAGATCAAGTATCAAAGACACCTACCACTATATAACGCCGCCTCCATCCGCCGCCGTCTGCCACCACAAAGGGAACTCAAACTTCGCCGCCGGCCGCTGGCCACTGCCATGTTCCACCACCACCACCACCAATCCTCTTCAAGATCCATCATTGTACCATGAAACAACAATATCTTTCAACCCAATTTTCAATTCCTCCCATTGACAATCCTCAAATTCTGTTCCACCATTCACAACCTTAAACTCCACCAACCATAACTCCTTTGCCACCTCCAACATTTCCACCAACAAAACCACTCTCCCTTTCACCAACCCAATTCCCCCACTCTTCCTTCTTTCCACTCTATACCCTCCATCTTTCCCAATCTTCATCACTTTCTCCTCAACCTGAATCACCCCCACATTCGTCGTAAACCTCATTTCCTTCTTATTCAATCCCATTTCAAACAACCCCGACAAATCCAAACCCGAATTCATCGATATAATATCAAACGCATTCATTCTCCCCATATGTTTACTACTTTCCTTCTCCAAAATCCCCTCACCAAATTGCTTAATCTCTTCTTGTTTCATTGATGAAGATCTTTTAAACCATGGAGTATTCATCAACTCCTCAATACCGTATCTCGTATCCGGGTTTGGGTCAAGCAACCGGTTTATTACTTTCCGAGCCGGCTTTGAAACCCAATCGGGAAACTTAAATTCACGGCGATGTATAGATTTATACATGCTAGGTAAATTTGAATCATCAAAAGGTAAACTACCGGCGAGAAATACGAAGAGAAGAACCCCACATGACCAGGCATCTGCTTTAGCTCCGTCATATCCTTTTCTGTAAACTACTTCAGGTGCAGTATACGCCGGAGTTCCACAAGCGGTGTGGAGGAGACCGTTAAGTAGTTGCTCCGGCAAGGCGGAGAGTCCGAAGTCGGAGATTTTAAGGTGACCGTCTTTGTCTAGGAGGAGATTTTGAGGTTTAATATCGCGGTGTGCGACGCCGTTTTGGTGGCAGAAGTGTAAGGCGGAGACAAGCTGGTGGAAGTAAAACCGGGCGGTTGATTCAGAAAACCGGCCGCCACGGCGGTTCAATTTTGTAAAAAGCTCTCCGCCGTGGGCGAGTTCCATTACGAAGTAGATTTTGGTTTTTGTAGCCATGACTTCGTGGAGTTTAAGGATGTTTGGGTGGTGATTAAGGCGGCGCATAGCGGAGACTTCTCGGATTATACGAGGTTCCATAGAAGCATCGAAGGTAGTTGTTGAACCGGTTTTGTTTATAACTTTAATGGCGACTTCTGTATTAGTGTCGTCTAAACAACGGCCAAGGTAGACTTTAGCAAAGCTGCCACGGCCTAAAAGACGACCCAATTGGTATTTATTGAGAATTATTGTACCGGTTCCGCTACCGTCGGAGCTGGTGGTTCTTTTGATTTTGACGGGGGGAGGTGGTGGTTGGGGGTGTTTTACATCCATGCCTGCGGCGGCGGATGGTGGGTGGAGGCGGAGCGAAGGGAGGAGGAAGATTAGCTAGTGGCAGGGCAAGAAAGAAAGAGGGGATGAATGTTGGTTTTATAGGAAAGATTAGTAGAGTGGGGTATATTGGCTGGATCTAATCTGTCATTGTTCTGGTTTTGGACTCTTTTGATTTTTGTTTTTTAACTAAATTCTTTCAATTTTGCACTACTATTTTTGGAGTGTATGTACAAGTATGACTAGAGAAAATGATCATTTAATTGAAGAAAAGAGAACAAGTTTTACTATAACATATTTTGAGAATGACAATACTTTGTATTTGAAATACTTGTACTTAATATTTATTACGATAAGAAAATATATTATTCTTCTATTTCAATTTACGTAACACACTTCTTTATTAGTTTGTTCCAAAAGAATGAAAAAAATTATTTTTTAAAATAATCTAATTTTAATTTTTTATTTTTACTCATTTTTCTCTTAATGACAAGTTTTATTCACATAAATATTATAGCCCCATAAGTTTTACCGTTTAAGCTTCTAAGACTACACGTTTCAAAAGTTTTTTTGTTCTTAAGCTGTATGCCGGGTCAAACTAAATTACTTAAACTGAAATGAATGGTGAAAGTGAAATTATATATTAAATAAATATGCTTAAGTAAAAAATTATGTGAAAATACATATCATTCATCCATTAATTTAGTTTATGTACAAATTGGATGCGGATGAATTCTTACTATAACTAGTTACTCACTTCATTCCATTTCAATGTGACACTATTTTTTTAATAAGAATTATCATGGATTTTTTTCACTTTTAGCCCGTGATAGAAATTATTTATATTCGGTAGAAAAAAAGTGTATAAAGTTTGTATTTCATATATATATATATATATATATATATATATATATATATATATATATATATATATATATATATATTCATTTGTAAGAGGAGGACCGTATAAGATATTAAGATAAATTTGTCTTCATTAACCTGCCAAACTTCTTCTTAAGCTAAAATTAAGAGAATAAGCGATGAATCATGCTTTGTACGAAGACGGCAATAGGCACGCAATTAGAAGAAAGATAGGTTGTATAGTATGATTAGTTCTGGTGGAATATCTAATATATCTTTATTTTGGTTTTGGACTTGTTACTTTTTGGTTTTTACCAAATATTTCAAGACTCTACAACCATAACTAGGAGTGTACAAGTATCACTAAAATGGTCGTTCTATATAGTTCCCAAAATAGTAAGTAACAAAGATATTTTTCGTTTGAACTACCAGGGAGATATATGTTTTTTTCAAACTTCCTAACTAATTAAACTTACTTTTTTATATTTGTAAAAGGTGCAATTCACATATTGTATATTTAAGTAGTATTAGTATTTTGCAAAAAAGAGTAATCAAGCTAAAACATTGTCTTACAAGAAATCTATGACTAATATTATTTGAGTTAATGATCATTCATGCCGAATTTTTTCAAATATTTTGCACAATATATTGCTCTGTCACTAGGCTATAGAAAGGGTCAACAGTAAAATTATGATTAAATACAACGTTCACTTGTATGATTTTCCCCAAAAAGAATCTTTTTTTGGGATTACACGGATCGTTAATTAATGAAAAATTAATGAACAAAGATGCACCATATAATTGACGATGCCAAAACCTTTCAATGCTTGATTTATTATGTAGCATATTTTCAAATATTCTAGTCAAAGTTCAATGAATTCACTACAGGAAATAAGGTTTCAGTGATGTCACTCTGTGGCGATTCTTACTGCGCCACCAAAAATAAGTGCCTATAAGTTGCCTTTTCAGAGGCGACCTACTTTAAATCTATTTTGTGGCGCATTTATTTACTATTTGTCTCGAGCTTAGTATTCACAAAAACTGATTTGTTTTATTATTAGCTTTTGTAGCAGCTACGTCCATCACAAAAAGTAAACAAATGTGTAACAAACTGAGATATACAAGTTTATGATTCTTCTTAACAAACTTGTATATGAATCTTGTTAATCATATACAAGTTTACATGAGATATATATAGATTATACATTGGTATGTAAAGACTATTCTATCCTTACAAGAGATTGGTACAAATTAATATACTTATCACCCCCCTCATGCGATACAGGATCTGAAAGAACGTTGAGCCTGTCACGCAAAAACATCAACCTTGGAGAAGGAAGAGACTTTGTCAATAAGTCTGCAAGTTGATCTTGGCTGGGAACATATTGAACCTGTAGGGCACCAGAAGCGACCTTTTCTCCAACAAAATAAATGTCAATTTCAATATGTTTAGTGCGCGCATGATGAACGGGATTGTGAGCCAAATAAATACTACTAACATTGTCACAAAATATAGTGGAAGGAGATAGAAGGGGTAAATATACGAATAATATTAAGTTTAAGTAAGAAGAACTGATGAACCAAACCAGTGTTGTTGGAGCAATAAGGACCTCGAGCTCGATTATCTCAGGGGCCTAAGAACAATTAAGTATGAACAATAAAGCTGAAGAACAATTGTTGAGCACGTTAAACAAGAAAAGCAAAGTGGAATGTTCTATTGCAGAGAATGAGATATCCTTTACAAAGATTGGGGTCCCTTTATATAGAAGGGGAAAACTCTAATATGGTAGATTTCCAATTATGGTAAAGAATTCTATTGGTACAGCTGTATAACAACCTAGTACAGACTTGTCCTCTTTCGTGCAAATCTTATCCTATAATTTATGTTCTGACCCACGTGTCATTGAGAAATTCCCACTCTTTCTTGAGTGCTCTCGAAATTGTACTGCCCTCGAGGCAGATCATGACGGGTTCCCGACTTGCTTCTCGAGGTGCGCTCATCCGGGCCTGGCTTGACTCTTACTTCGAGCTCCCAGAACTCGAACTCGGAGTGTAATTCATCCTTAGAAATCGATCTCTCCGATTTCTACCGTATACAGATAGTCCCCGCATTTCTTAGAATAAGATGATAAGAAACGATTTGAACCTCGATTTTCCCAAACCACTCGTGATGATGTCATGCACGTGGCGTAGGCACTTGAAGTGATCGAAAATGTCATGTGAACGTGCTTCCCCAAACGGTCAAATACGCTTCAGCCTTTGTCGGCCACTTGCGCCGCCGGTTCCCTCGCCGGCTTTCTATAAATAAGAGGTTACTTGGCTGAGCAAAAAACTACACTTATTCCTTCTTCATCTACTTTTAGTCCTTTCGCTTCTCTACCTCTTCCTCTAATCACCTATTTCCATGGTTCAAATTGTGGCCACAAGGTCACATGGCAGCGACTTTACCAGTTACGCCAAAGTTTCCTTTTTCAAAGCTTCGGCTCGAGACAACGAGAGAAAGGCACCGAATCCCTCCCGTATCAGAAGATATGCGAACTTTACACTGCTGCTCATCTCTCTTAACTTCAACCTGGTGTGGCGCTTCATTCATTTTGCTTTCCATGAAATGAGGTGGCACTATTATCTACTAACTTTTGCATCCCACACCGGAACAGAGTTCCGAGGATGAACACTCTTGGAATGTGGCTTGTGCATCTTGCAACCCCTTTTAATTTTTTTTTTTGTTTTTTTGTTCTTTCTTAATGTATTGCGGCCCAAAACTTCAACGGAATGTTCAATCTCGGCTGCTGAAGATATAATTACATCTATCGAGGGCCTTCTGCCCTATATAAATGTTTCCAAATATTTGAAATGGTGCCCCCGAGAAGAGGATTTCCGAAGACGATGCTCTCGAGGACGTGTTCTTAAAAGTGGATTAGGTTCTTTGGCTTTTGTTTTTTGCTTCTTTGTTCCTGTGTAAGTATCCTTTGTGGGTGCCGTAGCTATACTTTGTAAACATTTCTTGGGAGTATAAAAGGATCCTTGTATAACTTTCGATCCACGCTGAATTTTATTCTATCGTTATTTGTAAAATACTCGATTATATGGTTTCAGTGGCCAGCCCAAATATCGAGCTCAGGACATAATTAACCCTTAGGATTTTAATTGATCAATATAATACCCCTCGAGGTATTTGTTAATCCTCGAGCTGAACTTAAATGTGAACTCAGAACATCGTGAATCCTGAGCCTGAGTTAGGTGAGAACGAGATCTCGAAATGGAGTTAATCCTTAGATCTTTTTGTAGTCCCTAAGTGAGAATTCTCCAACTCGGGTATCCCTTGGGCTTTGCAGTCGAGCGGGCATTTGTTCGAACTTGTAATAAGGATAGCCCTTAGGCTTTTTCACAATTCTCGAGCGAGAAATTCCTCAAACTCGGATAGCCCTGGGGCTTAGTAATCGAATGGATACTCTGCTCGAACTTGACTTATAGGCTGCCCTTTATGATTTTTGATGAATTAATCCCGGATGCCTCGGTCATGATGATAATATCATGACATCAGCGGTTGAAGCGACTGAAAATTTACATTTTGTGCGATTCCCAAAATCATTAATTGGAGGCGGATGACGGTCGGCCTTTTGGCTTCCCCAACACGCTTAAATTACCTCTATAAATAGACAAATTTCACAACCTTAAAAACTTTATTCTCATATTGTTCTCAAAGTCTCATTAGCCTTTTTCAACGACTCTCCTTTCTCTTCACTATCAATACCCCTCATTTTCTTGGATCCTCCGCATTGCGATGGCTAAAACCTTTAAACCGGTTTCCCAAAAAGAAAAATCTTCTTCATCTTCTCGATCAACCAAGAGTAAACCGGTAATGCCCCTCGTATTTAGGAGTGCATCCCCCCGCCATGTGAAATAACATCCGATTTCAAAGTCGAGAAACCTGCATCGACACCAGGCCGATGCAAGCCCATGTCCTGATATGTTTGTTTGGTGACCAAGGCCGAGCTCGGGCAAGTAAAGGAGGATTGCAAGTGGGATTATAAAGAAATAATGATTCCTTCCTCCGAGGAGGACATCACTACCTAAAAAGCGGGGTACTTGAGCGTATATACCTACCTATATACATTGGGTTCTGCAATTCCGGCTCAAGGTCCCATAGATCCAGTTATTCTTGACTTTTGCCAACGATACCGAGTGACGCTTGGCCAGATCTACCCCTCCATCTGGCAAATTGTTTACTTAGTCAGG